ACTGTGGTCCAGACCAGCTCTTCTTTGTTAGGATGGATCAGATCCTGAAGGGTTAAATGATCTGGAGCTGTAGCCCCGAGGCCGGGCATCCAGCCAGCTTCACTTACACACACATGAGTGTGTGTGTGTGTGTGCGCCAGGGACAGCCCAGTGACTCAGAGGACAACCCCCCCCCCAAAGCAGCAGAAGAGTTTTAAAGAAACACCAACAACCACTGAAGACTGTGTGTGTGTGTGTGTGTGTGTGTGTGTGTGAGTGAGTGAGTGATTGTGTGTGTGTGTGTAGACCACAGTAATAATACTGAGGCACAAGAGGAGGCGCTGTTCTGTTTGGTCTTTTCTTTTTTTCTGTTAGTTTAACGCTCTTATGGATTGTCATGCCCCCCCCCCCCCCTCCTCCCCCCCCCCTCCCCCCCCCCCCTCTCTCTCTCACACACACACTCAGGCAGTGGGGCCAGCTCAGTCATGTCTGAATGGTGTGGAGTCAGTGCTGCTCACACTGACATAACTCTGCTCTAAAACACTGTCATTCAGACTCAGAACTGGATGAGTCCAGAACAGAACAGAACAGAACAGAACTGGACCAGTTCAGAGACCTTGCTCCTCCACATGTTCTCTCCTCGTTGTCCTGCAGTAGCTCTGAGGGAGTTAAGTTTTTCTTTCCCCCTGTGGACAGAAGGAGTCAACCTTCTGGCAGTTTATAATTTTTGTGTGTGTGTGAGAGAGAGGGAGAGAGAGAGGGAGGGAGGAGACAGAGTGGGGAGATGGGGGATGGAAGGGGTTGAGCCTATATTTTGGCTGCCGTTAGTTTACACAGATGGAGTTGCTCTCGTTTTGTAAACCACAAAAAATTCCTCAGACTCTCCAAGTAAGAGAGAGGGAGACAGAGGGGAGGAGAGGGGAGAGAGGAGGGGAGAAACAACGACAGGGAGGAAGGGATACAGAGTCAGAGACACACGTGTTTCCTCCCCTTTTGCGCTGTCACCCACTGCGACCTTCCAAACCTTACCTCACCTTCTTGTACCTCCTGTAACCCCATGTGAACTCACCTTCCCTTACCCTCCCCCCGAGACCTGGGAGAAAGGTAAGGCAGATCCTGGAGTCAAGAAGTCAAGAGTCCAGTCCTGGAAGTATCTACTCTCCTCTCCCTCCTCTCCCTCCTCTCCCTCCTCTCCCCCCAACCAGAGATCATTCTCACCGATGGAGATGTGAGACTTTGGGGAAGGCCGGTGGGGGGAGTTGTGTGTGGGGAGTTGTGGGGGGGGGAGGGGGGTGTGTGTGGGTGGTGGGGGGGGTGGGTGTGGTGGGGGGGGTGATGCATCATGATGAAGACGGAGCGTCAGGTCAAAGTATTTGTAGAACCTGCAGCAGGTCCTGGTCACTGCATTCAGCAGCAGTGAGGTCATGTGACCTCTGTCTGTTCTGTCTGTGATCTTCTCTGTTGTTTTCTCTGGTTCTGGTACAGAAAGTTCCAGAACCAGAAGTCTAGTCCTGGTCCAAAGGTCTTCTGATACCAGGTCCGTCTGTTGACACCTGTGTTCTGACAACAACAAACCAGGTGCAGTGAACAAGTGTGTCGACATCCTGAACACACACACACACACACACACACACACACACACGTCACTGTTTGCTGTTGTAGGAAATGTCCTTGGCTTTTCACTGTTTTCCTGGTGAATTCCACCCACACAGACCAGTCCTGCAGAGACCT